AAGCAGCCCCTTGGCCAATTAGGTTGCTTGGCAGACAGAATTTTCTAGACGAATTACCTCATACCAGAGAACTAATGAGCATGTGCTGCAGCAGGCCCTCTGTATCAACTGAGCCTGCCTCGAACCAAAAGTTGGTCAGGCTTGAGTGACAGGCCTGCAGGTCGCACAGAGGACACGTGCTAGGCCTGTTTCCATGGCGCATGCTTATCACAGCCAATTCATTTCTCCACTCCTGTATTGCCAGCATACATGTGAAATTTTCCATGACAGTTGTTGCTTAGTATTTTTGTGTCCATGCTACATATTAGGGCTGTGTGATTCGGATTCAGTCCAAATTGGGGACAGTGATTTGATTCATTGATTTGGATCACTGTCTCCAATTTGATTTGGCTCAATCCAAATCTGAAGGCTTGATGCTGATTTGGAGAATCAGTGATTTGGCTATAGATACAGCTTTAAATGTTTTTTCTATGTACCTCGAAGTACCAGGCATGGCTCGTAAAGGCTGTGATGCTGGGGTGGATGGAGCATCCCACAGGAGTGCAGGGGGTTGGGGGGCACATGCTTGGCAGAGAACCTGGAAGTGGACTGGAAGTACTTCTGGGCCAGCGATCGGCCATAGGGGGAACCTGGGTGCTCTCCCCAGACCCAGGAGGCACCAGTCACTGAGTCAGGAGGAGCACAGGGGGGCTTCCTGTGTACTGCCCAGTGGACTGGAGGGCTTCTGGTTCACTTCCAGGTCTGCAGCTGAGCATGCTGCAGAACCCCCCCCTCCCCCGCTGCTGTGGGATGCTCCATCTGCCCCACCATTTCAGCATTCATGAGCTGCCTGGTACCCTGAGGTATGTAGAAAAACATTTAAAGCTGTGTCTATGTCCAAATCATTGAGTCTTTCCGAATCTCTCCAAATCAATTCGGAGGGTCCTGGTTTGATTTGGAGAGGTTAAAGGGTCTCCTGATTCAATTCAGATTCAGAGATTCAGCCACCGAATAGGGATGAATCTCTGCTGAATCAAATCAGTGACTGAAGCTTCGCACGGCCTTACTACATATGGCTTTTAATAGAGTCAGTTCAGTCAAATATGGCTCACTAAATAGGAACTTCTGATAAGCAGGGAAACTAAGGCAAAGAGCATTTCAAGGTCGTCCATCTCCTTGGACTTCAAAATGGAGCAGTGATTAAGCAGTTATTAAGCATCCAAATGGAAATAGCAGTCCTGCATCCCTTAAGATCTGACACAGTCTATGAAGCATGTGTCGCTATGCTTCATTATGATAGTGCTAGTCAACCAAGTATTTCAAACTAATGTAAGTGTGAGGCTTCATGAAATGATTTAATATCAGTAAGACGACTGTAAGGGACACAGCAATCAAACCACTATAATTCAGCTCCTGTTTTTGATGTTTCACGCAATTCATTGGATGATCAGCTGACTTTGCTGGGCCACTGAAGCAGTGCATAAACAGCTAGAGTTATGAGAGCAGGTTATTTTAAATTACACAGCCATCCATTACAAACCCACTGGAAAGATTTTAACAGAAAAAAGCTCAAAGCAAAAACTAGGACACTTACAACAGGATTGCTAAATAGTGCTGACAATGCTTTTGCATAATAGGAATAGTTAAGAGAATGGCAAGTGCAAACCCACTTCAATCAGAAAGCCATTGGCAACTGTGCTGGTTTGCATAATTTCTGTACTTATTAGAAGAAATTAGGATATATGGTTAAAATGTTGTGCAACTCTTAACTGTTTTGGCTGCCTTATTCACTTCACTTGAAGTTTACCTCAACTATACACAACATTTTGTTGTATTCTTTTATAACTCAAACAGCATCCTTACAAATACATACATCATCGTCTTGGTAATGATACAAATAGGTATGAAGGGTGCATGGATCTTCCCCGCAAGATAATGGAGATAAAAGAAATATTCTATAGCCATTTCCTCCATCTCACTGGTGGAAAAAAGACACATATGAAGCCAATTCAGATTTCCTCAGACCATCACTTTTGTCACACAAAATCCATTCCTAAGGTCAGTTCTTCTACTGGTATAAGTTTCCACTGAAATCAAACGAGCTATGTGATTTACATGAATAGATGGTATATCCCTAACTTTTAAAGATATGCATTGTGCTTTTTTACCACAAGCTTTACTAATATGTCATTTATAAAACAAATTGGAAAAAGTTACTATAAACTTCCATGCACCTCCCTAATATTATAGGGAAGGAATAATTAAAGGCTGTGACTAGCAATGTTTTATGGTGACAGTACAAATGTTAACTTTAATCATTACTATTATTCTCCTGCAAGTATTTACATTTTGTCTATATGCTTAGGTTGACCCATTTCATGTACAGCTGAATTCTTATATATTTCTCCATTTTTCTATTATGAATCATACATATCTCATGTATCCTAATTAATATATGAGAAACTATCCATAAAATAACATACCATCTTTTGCCTATATCCCTTCATTTCATGGAAACTTTTAATACTTTGGTTTAAATTTAAAAAAAACCCAATAAGTATATTAATTATTTAGAGCAGAGTCATTTCTCCTAGGTAAAGAGGCATTAGGATTAATTCAGCCCTTCATTTACAGAGGTTTTATGCACAAAACCTCATATACAATGATCCTTTTATAAAGTCTCATCTGCAATGCAAGGTATAGCTAGATCAGTATTTGTATGGATGACATTGAAGGAATGCTTAATAACTCCAGGAAATCAATGTTGGTGATTTAACTCATTAGTGTTCTTTTTTTACTCTGTTCTGAACCATAGAACTAATATAGTTGCTGTCCATTTATTTCATCCTGCTAAAGACTTACAGCTTGATATCCCTACCAAATAATCTCTGCAACTTCACATTGTTATAGTACGGTATTTTTCTGCACTTCATCTTCTGCCCTTACCTTAAACAGGCTAAAACTGTAAATGGGGTATGCATTCAAGTCACAGGACATATGCCAGCCAGTGATTGTGGCTTTAGGAAAATAGCGTGAGAGAGTTTATGATGTCATTACCCATTAGTGGGACTTCACATTGCCTACTAAAACAAGTGTTTTAACACTAAAAGTAATTAGCCTTTGGACCAATTTGCAAATAATGATTCTTCTTTGCTTGAAATCTTGAAGTCAAGAGAGAATGGCTTTCTAAAAATATGCTCTAACTCAGCCACAGAATATGGGTTGATGAAGGTATTACAGGGTGATATTCTGTGACTTTAATTATTCCAGGAAGTCAGAGGAAATCATCTTCATGGTCCTCTCCTTAAAATCTGTGCACCTAATAATGGCCACATTTACAAACAGGATGCTGGGCTTCAGTACCAGGATTAGCATAATCCAGTTCTGTATTTATATGCACTTTTATAGTGCACACTATTCAAAAGCTAGAGTGACCTACCTGAGACATGGCTGCATTTCAGTGATGGTTGAAATAATCCATATATACCTGTTGGTGCCTGCCACTTAAAGGGCTGAGACAAGCAGCCAGCAGGTGCTTGATTGTGGCAGTCATCTTAGATCTCTTGCCACCTATATAAATAGAGCAGTTCACTGCTGGCAGGGAGGCAGAAACATTGTCTGGCTGCAAGGCTGCATGCAACATCCTGGAGGTAAGGGCAGCAGTTTAAGGGGATGGGGTGGAGGCTCCTGGTCCTGGACATGACCTAAAACTGCACCCTGCTGGGAGTGGGTGGCCAGGTGGGCCCAGGGTGCCTTAATAACCCCAGGTCCCAAACAGGTGGGTTATCCCACAGAAGGGCCAAGAAGGCAGACCCAGGTTAGGGAGTGGGCTAGAGGCTCAGAGGCCTGACTTGAAACACCCTCAACTGGTCAATGCTGGGGCCAGGACTGGAAGGGTCACAAGGGCCAAGGGCCCACCACGAGGGATGCCCAGAGCTGAAGGCCTGGGGTTTCTGACTGGCCTTTGAGGTGAGGTCAGGGCCTGTGTGGTCAGAGGTCCGGGGGGACCACGCCCAAGAGGGGGAAGAGTTCAGGGAGCTAGGCAGCACAGAATGAGAGTGGAGTAGGGATATAAAGAGATATGGTTGGGGTCCGGACTGGAGTATTCTGGGGCCCAGTGTGGGACCAGTGATGTGAAGATCTGTGGATGTCATCTGCGAGGCATGGGCTGTGGTGTAGGGGAGGAACAGAGCCACAGATAGTGCCCCTGGCATTGGGACAAGAAATGGGCAGCCTCCCACCTAATTAACATCCTAATTAGATATCATGAAGGCATGGGAGGCAAGGAGGTGGGCAGGTGCCTATAGAAACAGGTGGGTGGGCCAGAATGAGATCAGGTCCTGAGCATGCCCCCTGTGACAATCCCTTATTTACTTCACAAGGAGAAAGTAGGGCTTAATGTTCATTAAGTGCTTTGAGATTATCTAATAAAAGATGCCGTATGCAGTAAATGTAAAATAGTCTGACTTTCTGGTGATAAAGTTGCATATTTTCTCTTATTGGAACTGTTTTTATGGCATTATTTTACCTCTCAGAAAAATATTTTTATTTTAAGAGTTGCTATAATATGAGAGACAGATTCTATGACTAGAGATCTAATGAAGAGATTTATATTTATATCTTCTTTGAAAAAGTATTTTCCTTGTGAGGCTTCAAGGAGACTCAATTGGATTAATAACAATTTATTAGATTCTGTAATGTCTGCTCACTTCCCTAGACCTACTGGAATTCAGCAGTTAAGCACAAGCACCAAATTCTTAGTCCCCTATCTCAGTACAATTGCCAGGTCATTGGTGTCTAATGGTCAGAGCTAATAATTGAAACAAGAGACAGTTTTGGAGCCACAGTGTTAAAGAGTTTTGGGTGACTTTAGAGGTGCATTGATTCATTTACAAGTATCTAGAGCCTCACATAGACAGTGGTACCTGAATACAAAGTAATATTCCCATTTAAATATATGGACCAATTTATGATTGTCAGATGTGTTGTTTTCATAAAGTAATATATGCTTCTTTGAACAGGGCTACAAGGGAAGGCTGGTACCTTTATGCAGACAGTTCAAATGGAAACTTTGGTCACACTGCTGATATTGCTACTCCAGTCATATCTCTTACAGGACCCAAATGCAAGCTAGTATTTTGGAACTATATGAATGGTGCAACAGTGGGTTCTCTACAGGTACTGAAGAGACATTACATTTATTTTCTAAAATTATTATATAAAAATTCATGCCCTGTCATTTAGTTTCTAGAATTCTAAACTTCTAATAAAGGAAAATGAACAATTATCACCACTTCACTGCCCTCAATATGGTGTAATCATAAAGAAGGGTTAGCTGTAGTTAGCTCCTATAAGACAAACTCTGGCTTTATAAGTATGCCACAGATAGGGCTTCTGTACAAGGAAAAGTTTTGAATTCCATTAACTGCCTTTTTTTGTGCATATCTAAACATCAGGATCTGGGGCTGGATGTTATCAAAGGGCTAAAATAAGAAATGGCTGCATGACCATATAATCTGTTGGATCCTTTAAAATCAGCTTCTAAGTACAGTTTTTTTTTTCCTTTGTGGCTTTATTCACATTGTTTTTCATAGTTAAATTTGACTGAAACAAGCTCAATTTAGATTCTACTAGTGTTTAATCAAGAAAAAATATTTTACCCAGACCCCTTTCTGCACTCTACTATAAAAAGGAAATCACTTAAATATTTCTGTAAAGTAAAAGCTTACTCATTTAACAGCATATTGGCCCAATTCATCTGCCGCAAGAAAAGAAAACAATAATATTATTCTGGTCAGGTTTTATGGCCCAAGTATAAATAATTAGTACAAGATAATAAATGAGTAGTATAGAATTATAGCGTAATTTCAGAACTCTCTAGTCAAAGATATTTAATATAAAATAGGGCCAGATTCTCACCTGCTGTAAACTGTAAAAATTCTATTCATTTTACATCAGCTGAAGATCTAGCCAATGTGTGCATATCTAATTTGCACAACCCCCCCCCCAGCAGTTCAGTTACCTCCATATGGCTCTGAATAACTCCAAACCATTACAATAATATAAGCACTAAGAGAGTCCTAACTTGAAATCAGTTGACACATGTCTTGGTCCTGGACCTGGGAATTAGGACAGCCTTTTCTTTTCACAAAGGGGTGTTATTTGTCACCTGTTCAACTTAAACTTGTCCTGGATTTTATTTCTCCAGTTTTAAATTCTTTTTACAATCCCTTCATAGCAATAACTAGATTCTCCAAGACTCTGATATGTAATGCAAATCTGAAACAAAGTGCTTGACAAGTATCAATAAAGAAGTGTGCATCAAAAGTAATAAGAGGGAGGTTATGGTTTTAAAAAGGTTTTACTTTATTTTAAAAATATAGGGCCAGATTGACTGGTTCACTCTGACTGCCTTGTGCTGCTCCAGTAATGCAAGTAGTCATCAAGCCTCGTATGTTTCTGAGTGGAAGTGGGGCAAGAAGTCAAACACTTCCCATATCAACCTAAGATCCAGGGACAATCTTAGAGTATAAATAGGCATTCAAAACTCTCTTGCAGGGAATTTCTTCCAGGTGTCATCCTAGAAGATCTTTCTCCCAGAAAGGGCATGTTCCTTCCAGAAGAAACTGAACAAATGCTTGCATGTTCCTAGTTTCTACCAGGAAAACACCAATTGTGTGTGTAGTAATTTGAATGCCCATATGTGGCCTTAGTCTTTCTGTGTGTTTCCAAGAGGAGAAGAAGAAACACCAGCTACAGAGGAGGACTGTCATATACTCCCTGAAAAATTTGTCCCTGCGTAATTATTGTTATCAAAGTCTCTCTAGGAGCAGAATAGTTGTGAGCTGTCCCCTGTGGTCTGAGGCTAGTGCCAGTCCAGCAATCAGGTTCACATGTAATAAAGGTTTTAGGTGGAAATTAGCACCTACATCCAGATCTGCAATCCTGAAGATACCTAAATTTCTTGTTCCTTCCCCTGGAAGCACTATCATTTGTGGCCTTAAAGTTTTATAAGGACCTGGAAGTTGTACCACTACATATCAGTTTTGACAGAGGTCAGCAGTCTACTGCTTCACTCATGCTTAAGTTTGATCCAGAAACTAGTCAGTTCACTTCAGTGAGTGCAGGTCAGACGGAAGACCCACACTGATCACAGGGATTGAATAATTATTTGTAGGAAGCAAAATAAAATTCTGTTTTCCCTCTCCCCAGTCACACCATGTAAAGAAATTTCTGTAAACTCATACAGATTTTCTTTCCCTGAGCACCCAATCCAGTTTTTTTAACCAAGGAAGGCTAACACCTAATTTTCTATAATGGAGGCTGACCTATTTTTTTCTATTCAATAGTTCCCAGAGGCCATAAGGAAAATTATTGGGCTTCTCTAAGCTGTGTCTACCTCTAACCAAACCGTATTTATTTTGTGTAAGGGTTAGCAAATCACGGAGTTACTCTTTGTGAGTCTTAGAGAATGTTTTTAAAACATTGTGAAATAAAACCATAAAACAATAACTAATCTAATGCATAATAGAGCATCACCATCTACATGTGCACAGTGATTACTGCACAGTAGATTAGTTTAATGTGCCATTTTCTAGTACCTGTACCTTCAGGTACTAGAAATTGGTGCTTTAAATGAATGTGTCAAAGTGCACATGTAGATGCTGACTGGGAACAAATTGCTTCTGGTCATCCTAGGCAGTGGGGGGGCCACAGGAGGCAGGAAGAGCTGTCTCAGCTTGGTGGGACATTGCCTGCCAGCCCCATGGATATTGGGACCTCTCCCAATCTCTGCAAGGTGGAGAGAGCTGTCCCAGCTGCTAGGCAGCTGCCTCCCAACCATGGCAGGAGCAACCCCAGACTGAACTGCTGCCAACAAGCGCACATTCAGATGTGTGGGAGCATAGTGTAACGTACTTGAATCTTCTGTGCAGAAAATCTCATCTGTGTTTAATTATGTTTGTTTGATTCTTTTTTTAAATTTTTTTTACTGTAATCCTTTGCTTGCCACAAGACACTGCTTTAGGCATGTACCAGGCTCCACTATCCTTGTCTTATGTGTCTGTAATTTTATGTTTCTTTTTACAAGGACATCTTGTTATCTGCTACTCAACCCTCAGCCTAGATAAACACTGGCGTGCCTTTTGTCCAGTTCCTATTCTTTGACCTTTCTGGCATGGGTATTCCCACCAGGAATTCCTACCAGGAGTTAAAACTCCCTCTGCCACAGTTCTCAAAGGTATTGGAATGTACAAGCCTTTCCACTTCACCAAAGTACAGGGAATCCTTTGATTTTAAGGACATAATATGGTATGACATTAGGCTTGATAAAATTGCAACTACGGGTATGCAGTAGTAAGATAGAATTTCTGGTTTACAGAGGTGGACTTTACTTGAGGAATAGTGTCCCTTAAACATTGGAAAATGTAAATATGTGAATTTAAGCAAAAATGTGTAACATTCAAGTCAAAATGCAGAGTTTTGAAGAGGAGGATCAGAATATTCTCATGGCAATACAAGTCTCTCCAATTACTTTTGTCCATTTATGCATACATCGTAGGTGAAAAGAGACTCTCCTCTTTCACCTTACACTCTTCAGTAATATCCATAATCTCCCCCTCGCTCTATTAAGGGCACTCCTAAAAACCCAGGTATCCTGGTTACAAGGTTATAGCGCCACTATGTCTTTTTTCTATATTTAATGTGTTGCATGTTCTCCTCTTGTGCCTCTGACTTGAAAGCTCTGTTACATTTTTGTCACAGCTTACCTGTTGTACAGTGTCATATACATTTAAGGGACTGCATACATTTTACCAAAAATGTCATTTCTTCATTACAATGAAAAATGTCCAGGTTGTCCTAAGAAGATTATACTCAGTGACAATAAATCCTTGAAAAGAGAGGTGGCTCTGGAAACTGGTGAAGTGATATATGTAGCTCTGTCAGTACTGGCTGGAGACGTGACCTGACACACTCCATCAGACTCCCATCCATCTATTATTGTCAGGTCAATTGAATTTGGATGTTCAAGAAGTTGGAGTGAAGCATATTGAGAATGGTTAGTCATGAGGGAAAGTGTAGACTCTCCCCAATTGAGTGATTGTTCACTGAGGCAAGAAATTAGGTGGATATCTTGTGTACTCTCCATTGTCCAAAGAGACCAAGTTCCTTTGGACTGAATTGACAAGCTTATTTCTGGGGGAAAAATGGGATGTGCAGTCAGGTTGCTGAAGCTGACTGGGAACAATCTAACAGGATAATGGAATATCCTAATAGAAACTATTGTCTCTCATTTCTCTGACCCTTACAACTTTTCAAAAATTCCTGAACTTACTATGCATGCAGGAGAATATCAGAAAACTTTTGCAGGATCAGCTACTCGGAAGATCACACTTAAAATAATTTTCTACTGATGATTTTCAAGTGAAGTGAAGGAATTAATCTAAGGAAAAACTGTGGCTGGGGTGAATTTATATTAATGAGATTGACTTTGTCAATAATTGGAAAGATTTACTAATGTCTGGAATTCACTATATCCATTCAGGTACTGAGTAAAATTGGTAATGTGACGTCTGAACTTTGGGCTCAAAGTGGCAGCCAAGGTGCACAGTGGAACAGAGCAGAAGTGTTCTTAGGAGTACGCTCTGATTTTCAGGTGTGTATTTCAAATTCACATATCATTGAGATTATTCTAATTAACATTTTTCTCTTTAATAATTCTCCTGCCACACCATCTCTTATATAATTTGTGATTAGTTAATCTTGGTCTTCAGACTATTAAGAACAAAATTCCTTCCCTGGCCTCCAAAGCAAGTATCACAGCTCAATGCAATGCCTCATTCCATATGAAGGAAGAAGAAATACTTCTCCATCCCAGGCTGTGGAGTGTTCTACTGCTATTACTCCATCTTAATGAACAGAGCCATAATAGGTCTGGAAATCCCAGTAACCCTTTTCTATAGCTTTATAACGCATTGACATGCATTGTGCACCCCTGAGATTGGCTGTGCACCCCCTGGAACCGCCAGCCATGAAACTGGAAGTGCCAGTGGAATTGCACGGTGAGTGGGGGCTTTTTTTTTTTTTTTTTTTTTTTTTTTTTTTTTTTTT